CAGTCTTTCCCCAGGGACTGCAGTTTTCTCAGGAGCCAGTTAGGAGAAACTGGAGCCACTGCCAAGTAATTTGGGATTTCTAGCGTGCAGGTTTGAGAACTGCATATCTGATTCGTACGCCCATCTCCAAGACTCGCGTGGTTTCGAGCAAGCCCTGTACATCCTTCTAGGCCTGTTCCCTTCAAGGATATGACACTTATTTGTGAGCGAAGCATTATAAAACTGTTGTTATGTAGATGACAAAGGTGTAGAGCAGGAATCACTGGACTGGAGATAGGGTGCCTGGCTGTGTGCGCTTGTTTGTGTGGACTCAAAGCCGCTTAGCAGAAAATTCTTAAGGAAGTTTTTCTGGGTTGTGTTGAAAAATCTAGGATGTAGAAAGACTTCATTTTTAACACTGGTTTTGGAGTTGAGGCAAACACCTGACTGACACACTTTGGAATTTCAGTGTAAGATTTATTTTCACATGCATCTTATATATAGGTATAGAAAACTTGTTTATGTAAGAGACAAGTTAAAATTCAGCACAAATTCATGAAGTTGCAGGGAAGAAGCGCCCCTTCTGGCTGGGGACAGAAATATGGATAGAGCAAGAAGGATCTTTTTTTTTTTTTTTTTAAAGGAGGTACTGGGGATTGAACCCAGGACCTCACACATGCTAAGCATGTGCTCTACCATTGAGCTATCCTCTCCAAGTGGGCACTTAACATAGCATCTGTTTTCTGAGGAGCTGGATGGGGAACGATGCAGACCTTCCTGCCGTCCTCTCTGGGCTGTGATCCCCACAAGAGTCTGACTCCTCCAACCAGTGAGAGGGGAGTAAATGGAATCAGGAGAGTAGAGACCTGTATCGGCTTGCCTGGCTTCCCACATGGCCTGCCTTTCACCGGGAGACAGAGGCTGCACAGGCAGCCTCCCTTCATCCAAGTCTTGCCTGACAAAGTCCAAGAGGCAGAGGGAAAGAGGCCCTTGCTTTTCAGTGCAGCAGCCCGATACCCAGGGAAGGACCTGTTCTCCCTGCCTCACCGATCAGACTGGTCATTACTGGTCCTTTTGGGAGAGCAAGACTGGAGCCGGGGAGGTGGCTGGAAGTGTGATTCCAGATTGCTCCTTCCTGGGGAATGAATCGGAAATTCCTTCTGAAATAGGGACAGGAAAATCAGTGTTTCCTGGCTCTGCCTCAACACGAATAAATGCAATCCCTGAGAATAAATTATCACAAGGGCATTTGCACTGCCATCAACGCATGCTCACCAGAACCCATCTAAGAGGAGAGGTCAGGGAGGGTGTGGCTGGTCATGAGTCACCATATATCTGAAAATTCATGTAAAACACAAAACAGGCAGCTCCTGCTTAGTAAGTTATATATTAAACAAATAGGCAAATAAATAATATGCTAACAAATCACATCAAGTACAACAAAGGAAATGGGTGTGGGGGGATATGTCTCTAGGAAATGACATTTGAGCTGAGACCTGAAAGATGAGAAAGAGGCGAGAGAGCGAGTGTGTGCTTTTGGCCGGGGAGGTGAGCGTGTGGGGTGGAGGTCATTAGACGGCAGTCCAGGAAGAGCAAGCTGCGAGATGGAGAAAAGTTTGGAGTGTTCAAGAAACTGACAGCAAGCTAGTGTCGCCGAGGTAATGCTGGAGAAGTGAGCGGGGATTAAATCATGCCAAGCCTAGCAGGCCAAGTTGGGGATTTTATATGTCGTTTCTTCCTTATTGCACTGGAAAGCTTTGAGGCTTTTAGATAGGCTAATGGCATAATCTGAATTACTTTTTAAAAAGTCTACTCTGGCTGGAATGTGGACTGTAGGTCAGGTGGAGGGACTGAATTTGGGTAGATGACCAGTTAGCAGACCACTGCGGCATCCAGGTGAGGGCTGATGGAAGGTCGGCAGTTGCAGTAGTGGAAATGGAAAACAGCGGGCGCGGTTAATCATCATTTTGCAGGTGGAATTGACGGAACATACTCATACATTGGTTGTGGGACTGAAGGGAGAGACTGAACAATGCTCCATCCAGGCTGGAGCACTTGCAGGGATGAAAGGGCCATTTGCTGAGATGGAAACAGCCGGAGGGGTGAGAAAAGATGAAGCATTGGCTTTGGATGGTGGAGTTTGTGATGGTTGTGAGACTCTGAGAATGCGGTCAGAAACTCAGAAGAGAGGTCTGAGCCAGAGATATAAATATGGGAGCTGTTGGCACAGAGATGACATTTAAAGCCTCGAGGTGGAGCTTTGGACTTCTCGTTGCCTCGCCCATGTGTGTAGGCTCGGGTGGTCTACGGCCACACCACCCCGAACGCGCCTGAGCCTCCATCTGCCGGCCTTATCGCCATTGGCGGGCAAACGAGTTATGTGCTTGGAGGAGGAAAAGAAAAGCAATGAGTCCACAGCAGTTTAAGGAAACCATTTTCTACCTCCTATTTTGATAAATCCATGTTATCCTGAGCATCTTGTAAGGGTGAAAACGGGCCTGAGACAAAGCTAGCTCAGGTTCTGATTTCTTTATTGCAGAAGACTAAAATAGCTCCTCCAGCATTTTACATAGCTCAGATTTAATATTCCCTCCCTCAAAATGCACCAAAAACAAGGACATTTTCTCTGCATATAACTGGGCATATTACTTTTCTGGGACACTCTAAAAATGGGCCATTTTTCCTTGCGTGGCAAAGTTACGTTTGCTTTCCCATAATGATGAAACGCCATGAGGATTTTAATTGCCTCTGGACGTTTCTGCTGAGTTGGAGCCTGTCACTCATCTGGAAGATCCCACACCAAATGGAGTGGACGCTCTAAAGCCATGGAAGCTTGAGCAGACCCAGGTCCCCACACCAGAAGCTGCCAGGGAGTGAGTAATTCTGGCTTTGGAAAGGGTACATTTGTAAAGCTAAATTAATACGTCCTGTTTTTCATCCGTGACTTCTCTGTTTCCAGTTTTAAACAGTCAGCTGCCTTGGTTACATGACCATGCAAAAGATTTTTCTGGGAGGTTTGTGTGTTTATTGTCAATCCCAGAATGGACTTAACTCTTGTAACCAATTCAATCAGTACTGATCCAGATGTTCAAAGGAGAGGAAGGAGAAATGAGATCCGTCTACCTCACTGACCTTTCTGAATGGAAACCCCCGAAGCTTCTGACAGTCCCCAAATCTGCTGTCTGTATTTCCTGGTTGTGTAAAGCTGTGAGGCAGATGAGGAATATGAAAGCCTTCATTACCCCAGCTCCTTTCCAACATTTTGGTTTTTCGTTTCATACGATAAGGTTGAAAGGCCCATTTGATGGTTATGAACTGCGTTTCCTCATCAAAGAACTCCAAGACCAGAGCCTATAAACATATTTGGGCGCTGTGTTTAGCTGCAACCACTGGGAAAGAAACATGAAATGACATCTAAACTCCATGCCCAGCCTGTCTCCCATCTTCTTTTTTTATTGCCATGAGTCTGATCAATAAGCCTGTAGTCTCTGTTGAGAACCAAAAGCTGACCAGCCTCAAGTTTAAAGGCTTAACGTGGCCCCAGAGCAAAGTACCCCCAAGCGCCACCAAACCAAATACAAGTGTTCCACGTGCAAGCAATTGCCCTAATGTCACAACTCCTGTATTTACAAAAACAGATGACTTGGACCTCACTGGGAGGCATCTCCTTGTCTCCTAATGAAAGGTTTTACTTTCCTTTGACCAGCGGCCAGCTGCCCTGGGTAACCACACACGAGAGCTACATGCTAACAATTGGAAGTAAAGATGAGGCCAAAAAAAATTGCAGTAGGACTTGAGGACTGAAAACACACCTGCCAATTTCTTCTCATCATGCAGAAATTTCCGGGCTGGGACTTAGAATCGTTCATCCCAGGGATTATTGACTAAAAGAAGCTCGTAACTATTAGGCTTCTAAAGTCAAAAAGACAACCTTGTGATCAGGCCATGACAGAAGCACACACAGAGGCTGAGAGATTTACAGGGCACTTCCTTGTTGGCAAATCAGAATCACGGTGGAGAGCCACGTGCCAGCAGCCAGCAGCACCCCTGGGATGAGAGAGAAGAGAGGGCACGGGCTCCGTGTGGTCTATGGACCAGTTACATAAAGGCAGCACCAATTCACAGCCCTGGCGAGAGGCCACTGAACTAGCCGATGATCCATGTTTCTGTTAAGAATTCTGTTCCCAGAACTAAGAGTTTTGTTTAAGCAAGCTTTTTGGCCACTGCCAGAGCTGTCAGTCTACAGAAATGCTTAAGCAGACCGGTGGGAAAAACAAGACTCAGAAGACTACACTTGAAGAAAGGCAATTTCTGCATTTTTAACTAGCTGGTTCTCTTTGCAGGAGTGATTTAGTCTGTCAAATCCTCAGTTTCTTCATCTATAAAATGGAGCTATTTATAGGATTATGTTGAGAATCAAATGAAATAATGCAGGTGAGGTCACTGGCACAGGATCTGGCAGACAGTAAGCTCTCAACAAGTGCTGACAAGGATCATGCTGCTGATGTGGCCGTGACTCCGAAGAGGAAGTGAAAGGAATCCTAATTTAAACGATAATCCTGTATCTTTAGAGGATATCTTTGAAAGTCTCATCTGGATCTTTAAGGGTCTTACCTAGAGTCAGCCATAAACTTGCTCATTCTTTTTCTTTGTCTGCAAAGCTTTGCCAGTGTTCGCTTATGAGAGATGCTGTCTATGGAAAAATCTTTGAAAGATTTGGCAAGACATTGGAACGAGTCAGGATTGCTTGACTTGTCTGATACAGATTTCATGCCTCTGATAGAGATGCACGCTTCTTTGCACGTTTAAAAATTAAAAGATGCCCAGGATTCTGAGGCCTGTCCAGGCAGCGGCCAGCTCCTGCCTCTTTGGGAAGTGGCCCCCAGCATGATGATGTCCCAGCCTGGTGATGACCTGGAGGGCCAGTGACCCTGTGTTTATTTCCTTGTTGATTTCCTTTCCCCGGCTCCAAGCTCATTTTCCCACTGCCTGCAGGAAAACAACAGCCAGGGGTGCGGTGGGCCTGACTTGGCAGCCTCAAAGGTGAACAAAAGGGTCCTGGCTTTGGCAAGAGCAGAGGGAAGTTGGAGGGAGCCTCAGCCCCATCCAAACCATAATAGAGTTGTCGCCAATGCCCCTGGGTGGCTGCTCTGTGGGGACCGCGCTCCCCGGGTGTCCCCAGGGACTGCTCTCAGATGTACAGGTCAGCTCTGTGCAGAGGCCTGCAGAAGGGGCAGAGGATGAGCTGGTGAACTCCAAGGCGGAGTGGTTCTCATGCATGTCTGGAAGACGGTGCACAGGGAAGAGAAGGAGAATTTCCCTGGGCCACTGCTGAGTCAGAAAAACTCAGCTCCCAAATGGACTTTACCTGGAGGCCTCCTGTGGCTGGGAACTGATGCGCAATCCAGCAAAGGTAAGAGGCCTGCTTCCCCCAGCTGGTCACAGCTCAGGCAATTGAGGAAAACTTTACCCCTGACTTCCCGAGCCCAGCCTCCACCCCACCCCTGCCCACCCACCCCCCCCACACACACACCAGATTGTTGGGAACTGACAAGATAGAAATATCATGTTCTGTCTCTTTCAAAACAGTCTAGAAAGGCCTCAGGACATTTGTTCTCTTTCTGCCTGATTTTTTTCTGCGCCAGTTTTCGTGCATACCTTCGTCGTTTTACTTTGAAAAAGAAAAACTGCTTTTTTATTTAACTTTTTACTGGCCAAACAGGTCAGTTAAAATGTAAGGTCACTTAATCAATGGTGACTAGGTTCCTATAACGTTATTCTTCATCAATATTGAAAACACAGTCACGTATTTTGTTTCATTTCTACGGTAGAAATAGGGGTCACCAGTGCAGTTTTACCCACGGAGAGACTTTGGTCCAGAGAAACTGGGACTTGCCCAGCAGCGTGTAGGTAGTTGAGTGACAGACAGCAATCTTGTCTCCACTCGTGTCTCTTTTCAGTAGAGTGGTGACTCCATTTTCTAAACCAAAATCCAGACTGCGTATCCTGGCGAAAGATCTGATGAGAGGAAGGAAGCTCAGCCCTTGGAACGCTTCTGGATGATTGGGAAGTAGCCACAGCGCCCGATACAACACACCACTGTGTTGCTGACCCCTGTTTATGTCCATCCCTGAGCATCGAATCCGGTTCAGCAAACGTTGATAAGCGATGGCCCCGGTGCCCGCCTCTGGGTCACAGGTCAGGGCGTGGTGCAGACCGTCCGCCGGGCAGTGCTGAAGGCATCCAGAGGGGCGGCTGGGGGAGGAGGTTCTACGTGGGAAGGCTCTCCACAGGAACGGGGCGTCACACTTGGGCTTAGCTCGGAGTGGGGACTGGCTTGAGGGAGAGCGTTTCAGAGCCGCACGTTCCCCCAGGCAGGGAAGGAGTGCACGCTTACAGTAAAACTACAGTAGCAGAGCAGGGGGTGAAGCACAGGCTGGGGAACTGGATTATCTGGATGTGAATCCTGGTTCTAACACCCACTAGCTCTGTGTCCCAGGGTCACTCAGTTCATCCCTGTGACCTCAGTTTTCTGACACATAAAATGGGAATAAGGGTGACGCCTCCCTCCTGGAGTCGTCTTATGGTTTAAATGAGATAATACCCGTGCAGTCTTTGCCCACATCTAAGTGCTCAGTAAATGCTATTTAATCACCTTGTGCCTGGCTCCATGGGAGATGCTGAGAATACAGATAAGAGGAGCCTCTCTTTCTGATCACATCTTGTGGTTTGTTGTGTGCAACTAACTGTACGCAGTGTGGTAAGTGCTGTGGAATCGCAGAGGGGGATCTGCTAAATCTGGGAGATTCTGGATGGGTCATTCTGGGCAGCCTGTTGGGGGAGACGGGGAGAAGTTTTACAGCAGAGGACCTGTGTATAGGGAGGTGGCAGAGAACAAAGCTCCACAAATTTAATTTTGAGTACACACTTCATCTCCCCCAGATGCACAGCATAACTGTGTTAGTCTGCTCAGGTTGCCATAACAAAACATCACAGTGTGCATGGCTTAAATGACAAAAATGTGTTTTCTCGTAGTTCAGGAGGCTGGAAGTCCAAGGTCAGGGCTAGGCCGCTCTCCTTGGCTTGCAGTTGGTCTCCTGCTTGCTGTGTCTTCCCATGGCTGTCCCACTGTGCGCCTGTACCTCTGGTGTCTCCCTGCATGTCCAAATTTCTTCTTACAGGGACACCAGTTTGATTGGATTAGGCTCCACCCTAAGGACCTCTTTTGAACTTCATCACCTCTTTAAGGGCCCTATCTCCAAATCCAGCCACCTTCTGAGATACAGGGCTTCAGCATACGAATTAAGGGGAATACCATTCACCCTGTAATAATGAGCCTGCTTCTTGAAGCCTTATTTCCTCATCTATAAGACGGAGGCAATACTTAACAAGGAGAACCATCGTAGTAACTATAAAAAGAACAAATGAAACACCGAGGCCAGTTTCTGGCCCTTAGAAGGTACCTGACAGAAAGTGGTGGTTCTTGTTAGCACTTCAGGCCAAGCCTCAGATGAACATGGGGTTCCCTGAAGAATCCACATTCCAGATAGTCACAGAAGAACTGGCCTCCATTATGCCACAGATTTCCCCAGAGGACAAAGGGGCCCTCTGTGTTTCTACTTTCTTGGTTCTGGCAGATGAACCCAGCATCAGATAAGTCAAGTAGTTGGCACCATCAGCCCTACAGATACTGCGTTCTCTCTGTCTAGTTATTCTGGTATCTGTCCATCCTTTACTAACAGAGTAGAGTGAGAACGCCCATCTCTTCCACCTCATGCGAGAACCAACATGCCACAGATAAACCCTGGTTCTGCTCCTGGGGCAGCTGCTCCATGCTCTGTGGAGCTGTCTCTGGGTACCTGTGCCCTGCAAATCTGGAAAACATTATCATTCTAATCTAACATACTCATTACATGTGGAGATAGATAGATAATAGATAGATAGATAGATATAGAATAAATGAAGATATATATACTACTTTGAAAAACCTCAAACTTACAGAAAAGTTGCATGTACAGTCCAAAAAATTTTGTACTATATTTTCCCTGAACTCTTTGAGAATAAGCTCCCAGGATGATGCCTCATCTTCCCCCAAATACTTTAGTGTACATTTCTCATGAGCAAGGACATTCTCCTATACAACCAGAAAATCAGGAAATTAACATTGATTCATGACTATTATCCAATCCTCAGACCCCAGTACATTTTCATCAGTTCCCATTGCATCCTTAGACCAGTTCTAGTTTTTGTCCATCATCCCAATAATAGCCTTTCTAGTGAAAGAGTATTCTAGAATCAAGAGTTGCACTTAGTCAGCACCTCTACTTAGTCTGCTCCAATATGGAACTCTTCCTTGGTATTTCCTTCAGTTTCACGACCTTGACACTTAAAAAATACAGGCTAATTATTCTGTAGAATGTTCCTCACTTTGGGTTTGTCAGTGTTCTTACCCTTAGATTCAAATTCTACAACTTTGGCAAGAATATCACAGAAATGATGCTGTATGTACCCTTAGAAATGGTTAAAATGGTAAATTTCATATTATGCGTATTTTACCGCAATTAAGAATAACAACTAAATAAATAAAGCCTGACTGCTTTTCCTTAACAAAGTGATTCTGGGACAAATGGTTAGGAGAATTGTAGAAGGAAAAAAAATCCTATAGTTTTAAAAAATTGAAGTAGAGTCAGTTTATAATACATCAATTATTTCTGATGTACAGTGTAGTATTTCAGTCTTACATGTATATGCATGTATTTGTTTTCATATTCTTTTTCATTATAGGTTACTACAAGATATTGATATTTTTCCCTGTGCTATACAGAAGAAACTTGTTTATCTATTTTATATATATACTAGTTAATACTTGCAAATCTCAAACTCTCAATTTATCCCGTCCCACCCCTTTCCACCCCCCCACCCACTGGTAACCATAAGATTGCTTACTGTGTCTCTGAGTCTGTTTCTGTTTTGTAGGTAAGTTCATTAGTGTCTTCTTTTCTCTCTTTTTAGATTTCACATATGAGTGATATCATACGGTATTTTCTTTTTCTTTCTGGTTTACCTCACTTAGAATGATGATCTCCAGGTCCATCCATGTTGCTGCAAGTGGCATTATTGTATTCTTTTTTATGGCTGAGTAGTATTCTGTTGTATAAATATACCACAGCTTCTTTATCCAGTCATCTGTCGATGGACATTTAGGGTGTTTCCATGTCTTGGCTATTGTAAATAGTGCTGCTGTGAACATTGGGGTGCATGTAACATTTCGAACTAGACATCCTTTGAGATATATGCTCAGGAGTGGGATTGATGGATCATGTGGTGAGTCTATTATTAGTTTTTTGAGGAATCTCCATACTGCATTCCATAACGGCTGCACCAAACTGCATTCCCACCAATAGCGTAAGAGGGTTCCCTTTAATTCGCACCCTCTCCAGCATTTATTATTTGTATACTTTTGAAAGATGGCCATTCTGACTGGTGTGAGGTGATACCTCATTGTAGTTCTGATAATTAGTGATATTGAGCATTTTTTCATGTGCCTATTGGTCATTTATATGTCTTCATTGGAGAGTTGCTTGTTTAGATGTTCTGCCCATTTTTGGATTGGGTTGTTTGTTTGTTTGTTATTTAAGTTGTATGAGCTGTTTATATTTTCTGGAAATTAAACCTTTGTCAGTCACATCATTTGCAAGTAGAAAATCCTATAGTTAATAGAGAAATTTTACATATCTCAGAGTTTCCTAGAAATATTAGAGAACTAAATTTCAATACTAAAATTTTACTGTAAAGCTCTTCTCTGGGAAAATAAATACATAAAATAAATCTTGGTCAGAACTTGGGTATGCACTCAAAAACTTGGATGAGACATTCTCTGCTAAATCACAAAGAACTTACAACTCTACCAATGATATCAGGAGATTGTCTCCTAAAACAAATGAGATCAATATGGTATGGAAGATCCAGAAATGAAAGAGACATTGTGAGATATGTTTGATTATTCAGTTGTGTGTGTGTGCTCTTGAACTATTTTAAGCATGTAGTTCTTGACTAGTGGCAGGTGAGCCAAGGCATATGAGAAGGACACTGATGGTCCCTTCTGCACTAAAAGGTGGGGAAACAGACCCAGCACAAGGTTGACTCTGAACTCTGCTGTTAGAAGCATCCTCCTAACTTCTGGTTCTGGGACAGGAAGAAAAGAGGAACTGGAGCAAGAAGGGCTTTTCCTCCCTCTTTCCTGAATATCTGACCAGGAGGCCAGCTCTGACAGTCTGCGGGGTGGCCCTGACTTTCATAGCTTCCTCCTCCTCTAATCTCACAGATTCACGTCATCTCCTCAGGGGCCTCAATTTCCTTACATGTAAAATTAGAACAATAATGAAATACTAGAGGACCATGATGCATTATAAA